TTTTATACAATGGAGGTAGAACACGTATAATAATGACTGAAGCAGGAGAGCCTGGATGTTCGTAGAAGACTCAATCTCCAACCCAACCAATTTTATGCCATCTCCTGAGGCTTTTTGTTCATTTTAATCCCCTCTTTTGGGTTCTTCATTCAGCCACTGGCTCCAGTGCCTTCTCCTCCTCCTCCTTCTTCTTTTCGGGCTCGTTCGAAATGTAGCTCGGCTTTTCGAACAGACCATGTGTAACGTTTTCAGACCACTTCTGGGCGTACTCCCTGTCCTGGTCGTTTGCCCAGCTTACCTTGACATCCAAAAGCTTCTTCTCAGCGCCCTCGGCATCTTCTGATAGAACGATTTTGTTGCCGCGGCCAGCGCCACTCAGAACAGACGCTATGTCGGCGATGGAGTTTGGCTTCTGGGCGTTAAGAGCAATGCCGCGCTCCTCTCTGGTTCTGATGGGGCGATGATTTATGTTGCCCTTCTCCTTCTGCTGAGCCACTCGCTTGCGGTCGGCTTCACTGAACTCTTCGGGGTTCTTATATCGGAAGTCGTCGTCCCACGCTACCTCGTGCAGGTGCTTCAACTCGCGCAATTTTTGGAAGACGGATCGACCGATGGAGCCTTGCCCGGCGGGGAAGGAGATGTGTGCGAAGGGAGACCAGTAGTCTTTTCGGAGTTTGGCCGGTTTTGTCTTTTTACCATTGAAAGGGAGTTGCTTAAGATCGTGGAAGCCCTACGACATCAAAGTTAGTTTATCTATGCAGCTTACCAGGAAATTTATATAATTGAACTCACGTTTAGCGTTTTATCAAAGCTGTAAATAATTTGGTTCGTTCTTCTGTGGCCGAATACCCAGATATCCTCCCCATGTCCCTCAGGTGGAGGGAATCCTCTGCCATCCTTCTTCTTGCCGAAATGGCCGTGTCGCACCCATATCCGTACGTAGCTGGGCAATTGGCCCAGTCGAGATGTCGGTGCCGTGTTCATGGTCGCCCACTGTGAAGTTGAGATGGCCTTGATACTGGGGACTGATGGGAAAAAATGCCAGTATCGCCGGTTCAATCACGGACGAGCGTATGGTCACGTGACATTGGAATCGAGAGTTGGTCGATCTCTATTTTGGGGCTGTTTCAATCTACAATCATCTTAATTGTCAACTAGACTACTTATCAAACCTGGCTACTATCATCCGTCATTTGTGTTTAGACTTTGTGGTGTCAAAAGACTCTCACGCAATTGAAGGCTTTGTGTTTTTGGCCGTTTCACCTGGAAGTTGGCAACTGTACGGAGTGACCAAGGTACCAAACGGTCTTAGCTACCATTTTCGGAAAAGCATAAGCAGATCATACTGACAACATCGGGTGATAAGATAAGAAGCCTATAGCCAATAAGCTCTCAGCATGGACCTTCCAGGTTCAACCTTGCTCCAATGACGTCGAAGAATCCGGAAGCTGCCAGAAGCTGATGGGTTGGGCTGGAGATTTCCACGAGCTTGTATTGATGGTACTTGATCTTGCTAGATCCTGACAGCAAGATCTCGATACTTCATGTCGGACGATATTCTCTGCCAGATGCTTCCATGAAATGGCTTGTTTATTCCATGAGATCCACCTAATTCGTGAATAAATTCATCTCTTGATCCTCGGTCTTCCGTATCACTTTCTTTCTTCTCTGCATTAAAAGTACAGCAAGCAACTATACCCCACAACATCAAACGATACCCAATCTTCCCAAGTCAGAAAACCTGACATCGCCCTTCTCTTACATACATACTACGTTAATAACTGGGCAACACTACTGAACTGTACGACTGATACGTACACAAATAATTCTCTTGTTTCAACTACCTATCGTTTACACTCTCACTACAACACCGCAATCATGAATAGTCGCATGGACTTCACAGACCGTGCCCAAAAGGCCGTGGAGGATGCCATGGCCTTGGCTGAACAATACGGCCACTCCCAGCTTGCACCGGTTCATCTCGCTGTCTCTCTGCTCGACCCTCCCCCGGACCCTTCAAAGGATCAACAGAATGGTCCTCCTCCTACAAGCACACTCTTCCGACAAGTCGTTGAGCGAGCACATGGCGACCCTCAACTCTTCGATCGAGCCCTCAAGAAAACCCTTGTTCGACTCCCCAGTCAAGACCCCCCACCTGAGCATGTCTCTTTGGCACCTCAGTTCCACAATGTGCTAAGAAAGGCCATGGAACTGCAGAAGGTGCAGAAGGATACATACATTGGCGTGGATCACCTCATCACTGCCCTTTCTGAGGATTCAACCATCCAAGGACCTCTAAAGGAAGCCAACATTCCCAAGCCCAAACTGGTACAAGAAGCAGTACAGGCTATTCGCGGAACAAAGCGAGTCGACAGCAAGACGGCTGATACTGAAGAGGAAAATGAGAACCTGGCCAAGTTCACTATTGACATGACTGAGATGGCCCGTGAGAAGAAGATCGACCCCGTCATTGGTCGAGAGGAAGAGATTCGCAGAGTTGTCAGAATCCTCTCTCGACGAACCAAGAACAACCCTGTCCTTATTGGTGAGCCTGGTGTAGGCAAGACCACAGTCATTGAAGGACTGGCACAGCGAATTGTCAACCGTGACGTTCCTGATAACTTGAAGTCATGCAAGCTCCTTTCACTTGACGTGGGTGCACTTGTCGCTGGCAGCAAGTATCGTGGAGAGTTCGAAGAAAGAATGAAAGGTGTTTTGAAGGAGATTACCGAGTCAAAGGATGTAATCATTCTTTTTGTCGATGAAATCCACCTTCTCATGGGCGCTGGTTCGTCCGGTGAGGGAGGCATGGATGCTGCCAACCTTCTCAAGCCCATGCTTGCCCGTGGCCAACTACACTGTATCGGTGCGACTACCCTTGCTGAATACCGCAAGTACGTTGAGAAGGATGCCGCCTTCGAACGTCGATTCCAGCAGGTTATTGTCAAGGAACCAAGCATCCCTGAGACGGTCTCTATCCTTCGAGGTCTCAAGGAGCGATATGACCGTCATCACCGAGTCACTATTCTCGACAGCGCCCTCGTAGCTGCCGCTAATCTGGCGGCGCGCTACCTTACATCCCGACGACTGCCTGACTCGGCCATCGATCTTGTCGATGAGGCTGCTGCCGCAGTCCGTGTTGCTCGAGAGTCTCAGCCCGAAATCATCGACTCTCTGGAGCGCAAGCTTAGGCAGCTTATGATCGAGATCGCGGCTCTTGAGAAGGAAAAGGACGAAGCATCGCAGACTCGTCTTGCCCAAGCTAAGAAGGATGCTAAGAACGTGGAAGAGGAGTTACAGCCTCTCCGTGAGAAGTATCAGAGTGAGATTAAGCGCAGTGAGGAGATTCACCAAGCCAAGGTCAAGCTCGATGATCTCGAGAAGCGCCTCGAGGATGCCATGAATAACTCCGAGCACGCCAAGGCCGCCGATCTCAAATATGGTGCCATCCCCGAACAAGAGGCTGTCATCAAGGAGCTTGAGGCTCGCAAAGCTGCTGCCGATGCCGCTCTTAACGCTACTGCCACCACGGACTCTGGTGGCGCCATGGTCACGGACATCGTCACGGCAGACAACATCAACGAGATTGTCGCTCGATGGACTGGCATTCCAGTCACTCGCCTGCGTACCTCTGAAAAGGAGAAGCTCATCCACATGGAAAAGGTACTCGGCAAGGTCGTTGTTGGCCAGAAGGAAGCTGTTCAATCTGTCGCCAACGCCATTCGACTTCAGCGTTCTGGCCTTAGTAATCCCAATCAGCCGCCGAGCTTCCTTTTCTGTGGTCCATCGGGTACCGGAAAAACCCTCCTGACCAAGGCCCTGGCCGAATTCCTGTTCGACGATGCCAAGGCAATGATCCGCTTTGATATGTCTGAATACCAGGAGAGACATGCACTGAGTCGCATGATTGGTGCGCCTCCTGGATACGTTGGACATGATGCTGGTGGTCAGCTCACTGAGGCTCTTCGCCGCAAGCCATTCTCGATCTTGCTCTTTGACGAGGTTGAGAAGGCCGCCAAGGAGGTTCTTACTGTCCTTCTCCAGCTCATGGATGATGGGCGTATCACTGACGGCCAAGGCAGAGTCGTGGACGCCAAGAACTGCATCGTGGTTATGACCTCTAACCTGGGTGCAGAATATCTTGTTCGACCTGGCGTGAAGGAGGGTCGTGTCGACCCTGGTACTCGCGAGTTGGTCATGACCGCCTTACGCAACTACTTCTTGCCTGAGTTCCTCAACCGTATCAACTCGGTTGTCATCTTCAATCGTCTCACACGTAGGGAGATTCGCAAGATTGTCGATATTCGGCTTGGCGAGATTCAGAAACGACTCGAAGACAATGGCCGAAAGGTCCATATCGACGTGTCGGAAGAAGCCAAAGATTACCTTGGCAACAGCGGGTACTCCCCGGCTTATGGTGCTCGACCTCTCTCCCGTCTTATCGAGAAGGAGGTCCTGAATCGTCTTGCTATTCTCATCCTGCGCAACAACATCCGCGATGGTGAATACGCGCGTGTCGAGCTCATTGATGGCAAGATTGTTGTGCTTTCCAACCATCCCGACAGTGAACTTGGAGAGGATGAAGATATGGTTGATGAAGATGATGCAGTCGACGAGATGTTGGATGACATGGATCAGGACATCTACGACTAAGCGCTTACACGTAAAAACTGGTGATTGAAGGAGCACTGTTGGGTGGTGATATTGTTTTCATGGACGAATTTGACGATTGCATGACGGAGTTAAGGTTTCATGGTGTTTGTACTGAAGCTTAATGTATGTAGCTACTGGATTAATGGGAACAAAAGTTCAAATTATATCTGTTGTCTTGTGACATGTTCTAAATTGATCTCTACGGTGTTGTCCTGAGTGGGAACGTCGATAGCTCACACTTAATCTATCCGGTTTCGTTTGTCCGAATAAACACTGCGGCAAGTACAACATCCCTATAGAGATCCGGACTGGAACTCGCCATTGAAACTGAAACTTGTCTTTGACTATCATGCTGGCCCAAGAAACACGGGGCCCTCGCCAATCCAGCCGAAGTCATCAATGATCATGGACCAGTCAATTCCCTGGAGGGGATCGATGGCACTGTCCATAGTCTGTTCTTGGCCATTGACGTCTGTGTTAGCGTTGACATTGCCCTCGTTACTATCACCGTTATTGTTCCCCGGGAACCTTTGTTCTAGATGGCACATGTGAGCAATTCCAATCCATCGAACTAAGAGTGTAGACTTACGAAAGGCATCAATGCCTTTTTGTGTACCATACGTGATATTCTTAGCCTCCTGCAACGCATTCTTGAAGGCTGTGAGACACCAATACGATGTGGCAGCACCTATACGATCCGGCCATGCACCAACAGGAATGTCCCACTTAGGGAGCAAATGCCTTACAGACCAGAAAGTCTCAAGAATGATGGAACCTCTTGTGGGGAGGTCATTATCACGGACTGAGCAGGTTTTCAAAAGGGATAGAACCTGCGCAGCGACAACCTCAGCGTCTGAGGATGAGAGATGTTGCGGAGCAGCAGTGGAGTGAAGCGTGGATAGGAGGATGCAGCTGGCATCGACCAAAGCACGATAGACCCAGTGGGGGCTGTGCGTAAGGAGTTGGCACGTCGATTCGAGTGTGAGGGCTGTGTTGATAAGATTCTGTGAGGTATTGTATGTGCGGAGAGTATTGAGGGTGAAATTGGGACGCTGGTCAGGGGGTGAGATATAGTAGTAAGCCTGGACTTCGAGTTGAGCAACTAGCATTATGAAACTAGAGAAGTCTGGATGGAGGATCTTAGCAATCAAATGCTAAGCAAGGGTGTTACCAGGAGCCTACCTGTCTCGACACGGGTAACGAGGGGTCTCAGAAGCTCAAACTCATCTTCCCACATCTTGACGATGGTTTCAGGAACCCCATTGTTTGTCGATATTTGGGCAGACATGGCTGTATGCAACCTATTTGAAAACTTTTGTAGCTCAAAAAAGGTGAGCAACTCCGGCGCAAGACTATCTTTGATGGTGTCCTTGCACTTGGTGTCATTATGCTGGAGAAAAGGAGGCGGATGCCCATTCCCAGTAGATACCCTGCACATCATCAGTAATCTAGGCTACGCTGCCATTACAAGACCAGACAAACCTTTGAGCGAGAATACTACAGAACACCCACGTTATGGATGCCTCATAGTCTGTGCATGTCATGTGCTGGCGTCCGCCAATCAAGAAGCTAGGATGAGATCCTCGGCCAGTATGTAGGCCAAGGAGCATGCAAGCGTTGAGGGCACTGCTTATAAAATTAGGTGATGGATCGGTAACAAACCTAATGGTCGGGAATGGCCAAGTGCAGATTATCAAGAGAGTCTGAATAGACTCGAGGTCCAATGTAATGGCTTGAAGCAAGCCCCAAACGTCGCGGTTAAGAGAATCGAGGAGTAAGGTTACAAGTTGTTCATCTTTAGCATATCGACGACAAGCTGTTGATATTACTGTCCAGAAGAGAGTTGTTGATGCTTCGAAGCATTCATCTGGATCTTTCTTCCTCAAGACGGGCAGATAGGGATGATAGCATTGCAAATACCTGAAGCTGTCAGTCTTGCTGTTGCTAGGATCAGCCTAGGGGAGTCATACTTCTCAAAATACCAGTCAATATCCTGTCCAGACACCAATTTACCGCCTAGCATGCGAGATTTTGTAGGCTCTGTTTTTTCGAGCAACGTTGCTGATGGCACGAATGACTGGGGTTGTTGAGGGCTTTGCAGGTTGCTTGATAATGAAAAGACGGTGCCATTTGTGGCCGGAGGCAATTGGGGCGGTTGTGTAGGGAACACAGTTCCGTTTCTTTGAGAGACTGATGGCGATTCTGCGTTACTCTTGGGCTGTACAAATTCTTTGATGGATCTGAGCTCTTGTTCCAGAAGCTCGAGTTTACTACATATTGTCAATACCACTCACCAATTCAGAAGAAAATACAAGAGTCATTTCGTAGTAATGTTGTCAGACTATTACCTTCTCCTTGTCACTCTCTTATGCGATCTATCGTATACGCACGCAATTTGTAACTTGGCGCATCGTTGACATGGCTGTCCCGTGACAGGACTCGCTCGACACCGCACCTAGCCCAGAATCACCATTAACCATACGCAACTCAGCTCAGTCGAGACAACTCACCTTTGAGTCACGACAACTGATACAGGCTACGTTTCGTCTGATTTTGCTTTGCGGTGAGTCTGGCGCTCGTGTGAGGCCTGGGCCGGAAGTCGACGCGGGTGACTCGTCTGATGATGGTGTTGGAGCCATCAATTTGCATTATTATTATTATAACACAGAGCGGACGACTCGGTGGCTTGTAACCTCGATTAGATTATATCATTTAATTAGGTTCACAATAATAATTTTTTATGAGTTGTCGATGAGTCACTTGAGATGGAGATGGAGATAGTTGAACAAGTCTATGAATTATTCCAGTGGTTGAGTTGCGTTCTACTACCCAAGGTATGTATCTCGAATGTCTGACGTCACGTGTACAGCGTTTGTTTTAGTACCTAGTCGGCGTTGGGCCTATAGGTAGGTAGGTAGGTGCTAAGACCGGTTTCAGACCATACCTAGGTTAGTGGTTAAGCGAAAATTCGATAGGTCAGATAGTCACCTAGGGGAGGAAAATCCTAGTCCTCTTGATTTACTCCGTAATTAGTGTTGAATTCTATCTACATCTCTCTTTCGTATATTACACCATTGTATCAGAGACCAAACGAACTAACATGATTGGCCTCAAGCTTTCTTGGTTTGCTCAGACCTCTTCGGGGCCGTCTTCTTGAGCACTGGTTTTTCGGACTTTAGCATAACACCGACTAGCTTCCACAGTACCCAGGCGAAACCTAGCGAAACAGCAATTGCCGTGCCTGACCTGATTGTATCTATACCCTCGAGCTTAAGGACAGGGACGGTGACACGGTGCATAATTCTGCTCCCGCCCTCTGGCTGAGGGGTGACGTGCCAGAAGGCAGTGTCTCGAGGAAAAAGATTGTCATAGCCAATATGGAGACGATCAAATGGATTCTCCAGCGTCTCCTCGCCCGAGGAGCATGCCCAGAAGACAGCAGGATAGGGAACATCGACCTCGGCTTGGTCAGTCACTGAAGGCTTAAGGTATCGCAGGTGAAGAGGGATTTCAACACTCCACGGCTGCCCTTCTTCAGAGGTAGGTGGCGCGAGCTCAAGTAGAATACTGGACCCCCATGTCTCAGTGGTATATGCTGGTGCTTCCAAGTCCACAGGTAGAGTTGTGTATCGCAAAGCTGTCAAGTTCTTGGAGGCCAGGAACAGGTCGTCTCCTAGTTGATATCGATCTGCAAATATGGCCTTGGGTAACGTCAAGAACGCGTATGGCGCACACTCGCCCTCCGCACTTGGAGGCTTGTTAGAGCTGAGGCTGAGCTGAAGAGTTGGGTGAAGCCCTGTGGGAGTGAGAAATCTAGATGTAAATACAGACTCATCTTGACGGTGTCGGGCTGGGAAAGTGAAGATGGTTGGCGAAGGCTTTTTCTTGTCGCCAAGTACGGATACAACGCCAGCGACACCAAGTTCGTTCTCCTTCATGTTTGGTTGCGAACGGTCGTTAACGAAAATGCCAACTTCAACCCTTCTTTCAGTTGATGCAGGAACAGCAACGGTTTGGGGTCGAAGAGGCCATAGCGCAGAAGCGACAAGAGCCTTTGTGGACTTATCAAAGGATAAGTCCAAGCTGGTCGCGGTCAACAAGCTTCGTAGTCGGGCATTACAAACAGTGTCCAGTTCAGGGCAGAACTCCTGAGAAACAATAGTTATGAAGGAGTGTAAATCTTCCAGTGTTTGATGAAATGAGAAGTTCGGGGCTGTGGAGGTAGCTGGTTGTTTAAACTCAGTGAAAGCCTGTTACTGGTGAGCATCTTGCTAGTCAGATGGCTTATGCAACTCACCTCTGGCTTTGAACAGGCTAGTGGCCCAAACCTCTGGAGCCAGCCGCAAAGTTTTGTTCTAGGATGTTGGGTTAGTGTTTCAAGTGGCCGCAACTCGAGATCACGACGTACGGGTTACATGAGTTTGGGGATTCCGAAGTCACGTAGACATGAAGCCCAGGAGAAATTCGTGAAGTGAAAGGGTCGAGTGTCTCGGACCTAACAGGACTAGCCCATCTGATATGAAGAGCCTCATACTCTTGGAGTATGTCGGTGAGCTCACTAGGCAACTCGTCGAAGGGGATAGTGAGTTTATCCTGACGGACTGACTCGATTTGGGGCCCAAGCAATCCAGCTTCTTGGTTGTCCAGCTGCTCAGGATCGAGGGTATAGTCGCTATGGATAAACGTGACACGCTCACGCATGATGGCGGTAGTTGATGGTTGCTCCTGATTGTGGCATGTGTTGCTTAAGCTGTCTCTCAGCTTAGTACCTACGGAAGCTAGCTGAGAGCTTTCAAGGAAGATTGTCGTGTGTGGATAAGCTCTGGGGTAGGCTTGGATCTCGTTTGGAGTATAAGCTATGAGCTATGAATTAGCCAATTAAAAAGGATTTATGTCTCTGCCTTGTTCATGAATCGCTTCATAGTTGAGCTCGGTGTGTGAATTGGTTGGCAGATGCTTCCTCCAAAAGGTGACGTTAGTTTTAGTGACCGAAGCTTGAAGTAGTTGGCCAAAGCTTTTCAAAGGAGTCGTGTTATTTGAATAAACAAAAATGTCTGTTAATATAAATAAGCTAAACCTAATGAGGTTATAGATCCCTTAAATTATAAGAAAATATTACTTATAACCCTGATGCTAACTATACTCTACCTCTTACTTTAACTTTAAGATAACCCTAAGATTATCTAACTCTAAAAACTGACCCTAACCTGATATCTTAATTATAACTATTTTTTAATAGGGATAAGTTATTTGTATATAGTGACCTTACAGTACGTAACAGTGCGGCGTGTCTTGGTGACTTTGATTTCTGTGGCTGCCACACCAAGCTCTTAAGTACCTGCTTATGCAAATAGGTACTCTGTATTTGTTTATTCAAATAACACGACTCCTTGAAAGAAACAGTAAAGTACCCAGTACACTTGGATTATATGGGTACCAGACACTGGCTGGTGTCACCGAATACCCCCAGCCCCTGCCCCTCGCACTCTTCCTCTTTGGTTACCGCCAGTGACTCGGCGCTAAGCCTGTTTGGGGACCGACGGGACACTCGATCCATTTCAAACTTGAGGAAGGGACGGGTGAGTCTGCCACACGCCGCCTCGGTCGCGAATTGAAGAAAGTCGCTCCAACGATCATCCCTCTCCGTTTCCATAGTCTCCTACCGTCGAGATGATAATACCACAACAGAATCTAGAATCCTCCCCTCTTACATACTACTCATTACTGCCTCCGTGAAAAGACGCTCGACCGTAGAAACACACATAACTACATGCTACCAACGATACGCTGTACGATACGATCATGCCTTTTTCCAAGTGAGCCGACAGACGCTGTAGCTTTAGAGCTCGATACCCGCCCACATTGAGAGCGAGACGATAGAAGAAGAACCACTTCTGAACTGCCCAATTCTCGATTCTAGCGACCAAGCGGATAGGATACAACCAGGAGCCAGCAGTCAAGTTGCGACATAGGCGATTGAGTCCTCTGGCTGGTCCCCGAAACAGCCCGTACGTAGATTCACAAGTTGCGCATTCGACGCCATGGCCGATCATCAACCATACGTCACCATACGTTCGCGGAGACCTGTCGAAGGTCCAGGTTCAAGAAGCACTGGCCCCCCTATGGTGTGTATGATCCTTTGCTTCGTTCAAACATATCTAAGAAAGCGACTTACAAAAATTGCGACTTCCTAGGCCGCATCTAGTAGGGGAGATTACTATGCCAGGTCTGCAACTCATGACACAAGCCGTACTAGTTTTCATGTCAAACACATCGGCCAATTCGCACAAAGACTTGAAGATGTTAGTCTCTATTATCTGTCACAAGAACAGTCTCTAACTTAAATTCTTCTCCAGTCCGCCGCCCGAGCTTTTCCTAATCGTGGAAGATCCTCAGCCAGATACAGCAAAGTACAAGCATTGTTATTACACTGGAACTCGGATGATCTCTTCGTCATTCCTGAATTGGAAGATCTTGAAAAGTGTTTGAGTGAGGACTATGGCTTTAACACTGACATATTTGCCATCCCTTCGGAGAACTCCCATCTGGAGTTGATGATGCGCATAGGGCAACTGATCAAAGACCATGAGTCCCAGGATACATTGTTCGTGGTCTACTACGGTGGCCATGCGAGAATCGACGAGTCTCGGCAAAGCACCTGGTGTGCGTAAGTAGTTCTAGTTGCAGGCGTGTCATGAAGATCGTCTAACTTTTGTCAGTACCCGTGAGGCGAATTCGCCATGGCTTCAGTAAGACCCTCCTCTACCTGTATACAATCACAAGTCTAACGAGAAAAGGTGGTCTGCGATTCAGACTCTCCTCGAACGCTCACTATCAGATGTTCTCATTCTGTTAGATTGCTGCGCTGGAGCTGCAAGTGCAACTTTTCCTAGCGGAGCCAGTATCACCGAGACTATCTCAGCTTCGAGTTGGGATGCTATTGCCCCTGATCCCGGACGTTACTCTTTCACCAATGCTCTCATTGAAGTGCTTCAGGAGTGGCGAGTCCGAGCCTTCTCCGCCGCTATGCTCCACGCCGAGGTTCTTGCTCGTTTAAAACACCCTCGACCCATCACCATCAATGGCAAATACTTTGAGGCCCGATCGACCCCTGTGCATTTCATGATGACTTCCAACCACAAAGCGCCCAGCATCGAAATGTCCCGGATGTCTCGCGGCGATAACTTACCATCTCCCGAGTTACTACCGCCACCAGCGATGGCCCATGAGACTGGCCGAGCGGCTGATTCTACCACGCCTGTCTCACGGAATGACTACATGTTTACTGAACCCAACGAAGATACTCCTCATGTCATGATTTCTTTGGCGTTGGAGGATGACCAGCGGCTTGATATCAACGCATGGGAGCAATGGCTCGGCGCCTTCCCTGCTATGGCCAAATATGTCAAGGTTCAGGGTGTTTTCAAGAGTCACTCAACAATGGTCCTTGTCTCCATGCCGGTCTCTATCTGGGACTTGCTGCCAGAAGACCATGCAACATCGTTCGTTGCTTTTATCCGATCGAATAATTTGATGACTCAGAAGCCTCGAAACCAATCGGTGCCGACCTTGGTTCCCGCAAACCGCTATCCCGCTGAAAATGACAGTGCATCGTTCATTTCGGGTGTTTCGGGTACAACCTTTGTACCTACAGAACTTACAGGTTTGACTGGCCAGATGGGAGCTTTTCGGGATCCTGCGTACGGCAGACAAGCAGGACCTGTAGTCAGGAGTACTCTCCCGCCTATTCAGCAGCTCTCGCCCTTGCATATGCCACCACAACCCGGATCATCACCTCAGAGCTTATCGCAACGATCCATGAGACCGATGCATTCCACAACATCTCTTACCACACTACAGAGGCAACAGTCGTCGTCCTCTTTGGGGGGCAGCGGAAACCTGACGAGACAGATGATTATGAATCAACAGCAAGCTCTGCGACGTACCACTTTTGGTTCTGATGTTCCAGAGCCCAAGAAGTTCTCTCCTCATGTGGAGAGACGCCTAGAGGAATACTACCAGACTGAACCATTCCCCAACGATGGGCAGAAAGCCTTTTTCGCTTCAAACTTGGGAGTAGAACCGTGGCATGTTGAAGTCTGGTTCCACCATCGGAGAGAGAGGGATGCCTTTTCCCAACGATTCGCAGCCCTAAGAGTCGAAGACTCCAAAGCTGGTGCTCACGAAGGGCCACGCATGATCTTACCAGCGAATCTAAGTGAACTTTTGGACATATCTCTACCAGGTCAGAGTCTTTTACTCGATCTTCGGTCATCGACGGAATTTCAGAGGTCGCACATCAGGGGGGCGATTCATTTGCGTGCCCCTCAATCCTTCCTACGCCCGGCTTCTCTGGATATGATTGAGCGGGCCTTCCCCGACGCACAAAGTCGGAGGACCTTCTCACGCTGGCAGCAAGCGAGATGTATTGTGTTCTACTCGCGTGGGCTTGAGTGCCAATGGGAGTGCCCCTCAGCCGATACTTTGCTGGAGAAGCTCTGGGCATGTGGTTGGCACGGACGATGCTTCATTTTGAAAGGACATTATCGAGAGTTCGGTGACTCATTCAGTAAACACGTATATCGCGCTCAAGACAGCGATGCCGAGAAAGAGGCTCTGAAGGAGGTACCTATCAGTGAAGGTGTGCCAAGCAATGAGACGGAGCTTGCTGCCCTTTTCACACGACTGGAAACAGAGGACCAGACACGCCATATCAGCTCATCTCCTGGACATACTGAGGAGCGAATCACAGCACTAGTAGAACAAGAAAAGGCCCTTGAGAGTGAGTTTCAAAATCATTTCCCTGCACTCTTCAAGAAGGCACAAGACGTTCACGGTGTTGGACGATCTGATGACGAAAGCTTTGTCACCAAGGCGCAAATGGTAGAGTACCTGGATCGCGGCTTGACCAAAATTCGAGATGGCCAGGCTTCCCAAGTAGAAGCCACTGTTTATGAGCCAGGTCATTTGAAATTGGCAGATGGTAGTTACTTTGAACGGGCAAATGTCAATCGAGAGTCAGACGAGTATGTCGAAGTGCCTCGTGGAGACGAAGCAACATTAGACGGGAGTCCCCAGATGACAAGCAAGGGCAAAGAAATAAGGGCAGTGTCATCCCCGGACGAGATAACTCGAAGAGGGCGAGGAAGCGGACTTTTGAATAAGGTGTTCCGAAGGACATAGTGAAGGGCATACAGATTATGATTTACGTATTACGCATAGATCGATCTCCGATTAGATCTGGGAGTTTGTTTTGGAGGGATAATAGAGCGATAAAGATTCGAGTTTATAACTAGTTCTCGTCATAACCAGCGAGACGTAGATCCAAAGGCTCCAAGCTGTCTTTTTATTCTGCTTCTTAAGTTACAGCTGGATGAAGTTATCAAGGACATTGATATTTGTTTACATCGGGGCTTTCACCAGCCAACGATCGTCATTCTATTCGTTATTGACAGACTAAATCAAAGGTCGATTTTTACATACCTACTCATCAAGCTCAGCTAATGGCCCTTTAATGATGACCGCCGGAACTTCTCTGTTCCTCTAGTCTCCTCTATTTTGGCTTTCATCGTTCAAAAAGAGCACCCTGTTCACTAAGTGTGCCTACACGTTATAGTGTATGCTCGAGGTATGAGAAATGAGTTGAGTAGACAAATCTATGAATTAAAGTTGTCGCGAGATTTGAAGACACTATAATAACT